GGGAGGAGGGTCAGAGGGAGAAGCAGACTCCCTGCTGAGCAGGGAGCCTGACGTGGGACTCGATCCCGGGACTCCGGGATCATGACCTGAGCCGAGGGCAGTCGCTTAACCAACTGAGCCACCCAGGCGCCCCGAGGTGGACACAGATTTCTTAACCAAAATACAAAAATGACTAATCACAAAAGACTGAGAATAAGTTCTGTTAACTAAATGGCATATAGCCCATGATCCAACAATTCCATTCCCAGGTATGTACCTTAGGATATGTGCTAGGATGCTCAGTACAAGAATGTTCATGAAAACATTGTTCATAATAACCATAAACAGGAAATAATTGAAGTGGCCAACAAGAGAAGAATGAATGGATAGTTCACAGTATGTTAATGAAATGGACTAATGGAGTGAATAAACAAAATCAGCAATGAAATCATAAAATCTTAAAATCATAATGACTATATTAATTTCCAGGACTTCTGTATGATGAAAGGCATCACAAAAACAAAGTTAAAAGACAAGCCACAGACTGAAAGAATTCATAACAAATATTTAGGAATATCAAATATCGATAAGAAAAAACACAAAGATAAATTGGAAAATATATAAACAGATAACTCATAAAAGTAATTCTAATGGTAACAAATATTAAAAGATGCTGAGTCTCATTAGTTATCAGAGATTTAAAAAAAAACTAGTTATCAGGCAAGTGCCACTTGTGGCCTATTACAATGACAAATATGAAGAAGTCTGACAATATCAGGTGATGGCAAAGATGGGGGAGGTGATACTTTCATATAACTGGTGAAGACAATGTAAACTCTAGAGACCAAGAGCATTAAGTAAAATTCAAAAAGTGAGGAATAAAAAATCCCACTCCAAAGAAGCACTTACCCAGGTATACAAAGAGAAATATAAAAAAAAAAAAAAAAAAAGAAACAAAGAAAAATATATAATGATTTTCACTATAGCACTGATTCATTGGCAAAAATTTGGAAAATAAGTAAAACAAGAAGTATTCATTATATAGTAACACTATACAGCCACTAAAATGAATGAAGAAATAATTTTCAATAATAAAACATAATTATCGGTATGGACTGAATTAAAAACATAACATCGACTTTTAAAAAATCAAGTCACAGATAAATGAGTTAGGTATAATTACATTTATATTTACATGGAAAATGCAATTTTATATTCATGCATATTAAAGTAGAAAAATGAACTGAAATGATATATACCACAATTACTTTAGTTGGGAGGGCAGGTGGTCAAAGAGCTTCACATTCATCTGTTCATCTATTCTTTATTAAATAAAAATATTTGAAACAAACGTAGCCAAATGTCACCATGCAAGTTTTCTTACATATTCTATAATTCTCATTTTTAAGTTTTTAAAAATTTCTTAAAATCACACACAATCTTTAAATTATCAACAAACCTTGATCTAGTAACTTCATTTTAGAAACTTTATCCCAAGAAAATAATTTGAAATGCAGAAAGACATTCTATTTTGGCTTAATTTGAAATAGCAAAGGACATAGAAATAACCAAAGTGCTTCACAATATAGTAGTTATTAAATGCTTTCTCTTATGCATTTCAGAGATTATTATGGCAACTTAATAGACATTTATAATTATAGAAAAAATGCTTATTTTAAACAAAAAGTGTAGAATTTAAAATTTTAGAAAGATATGATCACTATAAATTATGAATATTTATTTTAAAAATAGTAAATATATAGATGTACATATTTTAGAACTATATGTGATTTTAAAGAAATTATTCATAATATTCTGTACTTTTTAAATTCTATAATGCATATGGGTCTGCTAGTTTAATAAAATGAAAGTTTTTTCAGACTTACTTTGATTTATTTTTCCTTCTTTTCCTTAAATTTTGAATTTTAAACCTCAAGAGTTTTTCATGATAAGAGGAAGATATCACTCCTAATTTATTAATCATGGGTGATTTGTTAACAGGCATATTCACAGATCATAAACCTAAAGAAAAATATTAAATTTTATGTTAGAATACAAATGCACTTATAGTACCAAATAATACATAATATGCAAATTCATGATTTGTGGGGAAAAGGGTGGCAAGAAGGAAAACCAGGCTAAGAAAAAAATTATAGTAAGGAAGAATTTAAATTTAAATTTAAAATGTCAGACCTAGGAGTCAAACCCAACTTTGAATTGAAAACCCATGTTCTTTCTATTATGTTAGTATTAAAAACTTATCTTTTCATATAATACTTAGCCTTTATTATACTTTAGCTGTTTTATCAGCAAAACCATTGGAAGAACATCATGGCATAGTAGTTAAGAGGATACAATCAAACTGATTTACTTAACTACCCTGTGTCTCAGTTTCCCCACTTGTACAATGGGAATAGTACCTCCTTACAGAGTTGCTATAAGAAATACATAGGTCAATATATGTACATTGGTTAGAATAGAGCTTAGTATATAAGAAGCTTTATGTGGGGGCTTGTAATCATTATTAGATTACTATGCTTTCTGTTTTTTAAAATTACTTGTAAACTTTTTTTGTCTTCTGTCTTCTTACCAGTTAGATCATGCTTTCTCAGCTTGTCCTCACATCCAGATTTATTTTCTTTTTGAAGAATGTCTGAATACATTTTATGAGTATAAGACCAAAACTAGAAGACACTATTTTTATTTAGTGCAGTATTTAAATAGCAACATGAAATAATGAAATAGGTAGTCAGATTTACACTGAACTATTTTGCACTTAATTTTTAAGCTAGGTAATTTTTAAAACTTATCATTAATTAAGGTTCTAGCAGGAAGCTGACAGCACACTCAAATGGAGTAACTAAATAAAGAGATTCCAAAGAGATGGGCAGAGTTATTCAAATAAAAAAAAATGCAATAAAATAAAACCTGAGATGGTGCCTTCTCAGGGTCTGGAAGAAGGGGGTGAGCCCACCACTCTTGGAACTGGGGGAAAGAAGGACCCAGAAAGAATAGCTGTAGGAAAGTGGTGTTTAATAAAAAACTTTGGCCTTTGATCTAGACATGCAGCCCATCTGAGGTTGCCTGCTAAGAGGAAGGCTGGAGAACAGTAATTTTGATCTCACTCTCCTGCTCTCCACTCCAATCACCTGCCTGTACTTCCCATTAGCTAAGCCAAACTAGAAGCCAGAGAAGGTATAAGGCAGAGTGGAGAAGGATGGAAAATGGATCTGGATGGCCAATGGGAAAATATCCAGTACAAAATGGATTATAAACACAAAACATTATTATCTCTTGCTATTGGTTATAGCAAGGTCTGCTTCTAATAATCTATATCCATTAGAATATAAAATAAATGTATTTTTAAGGCAGCAGCTATAAGGGGCTATATATAGGGATGTCCTTTAGAGTGACCCTAATTTTAATATACAATATAAGTTATTCCCAAACCGGACTAATATACTCAGGAGTTTCATTTTTAACAGTGAACATCACCACATTGGATTCACATCGGATATTTCTACCTTAAAAGGAACTGAGGAAAATAATTACAATCATTAATGATGGAAATAAAGTACACATAAGCATCAAACAACAATAATAAAGACAGGGATAGTCAAAGAGTTAATTTGATAAATATGGTAACAAATGTTGCAAATTTACTGTTGCTGTTATGTTTGACAAGTATTTATTGTGAGTCACATAAAATTATGAAGATAAGATGTTTAATTACACTAAGACAAAGTCTTCAAAAGAAGAAAAAAGAAACCTACAATTCTTTTTTTTTTTAAAGATTTTATTTATTTATTCATGAGAGACAGAGAGAGAGAGAGAGAGAGGCAGAGGGAGAAGCAGGCTCCCAAGGAGCAGAGAGCCCGATGCGGGACTCGATCCCAGGACTCTGGGATCATGACCTGAGCCGAAGGCAGATGCTTAACCGTCTGAGCCACCCAGGTGCCCGAAACCTACAATTCTTAAAACATATTTCAGAAATAAAGTTTAGAAATGCAAATTTGAGTCAGACATACTCTAAGATAAATTACTTTTAAAAATTTAATTCCAAATGAATAGAAAAGAAAAAATACAGGCAACCTAGGAAGAAAAATAACTGAAGGGAAATTGAATGGAAAGCAAACTGGTCTTTGTGTGCATGTGTTAGGTGTACTGACATAGAGCTCTTAGCCATTTAGTGATATATTTTATAGGACTGACTACAGTCAGTCATATTTTTTGAGATTTCAAGAAGTTAGAGAATAATTGTTTGAACTAATCATTGAAGCTATTTTCCAAAGATCTTGCTCATCTGCTGGTACTAGTGTTAAGTATTTGCACCATCTCCTCAACATGCAAGTTCCACAATACCCTGTTGATGAGACTCCCCCAGATTGGATGGGTAGAAAATGTCAAGTTGCTGTAGAAGTTTCTACAAGCTTCCTCTCTATTTCTGCCTTATTTTGGGATTACCAATCTTGAAAGTAACAAGTGCTAGTGCTTAACCAACAATAGTCTGTCATTCAGATACTATCTGAATAGCAATGGGATATAGAAGAAAGACAGTATGACTCACCAATGTATTTTACTAGTTAGGATTGCTTTTGACTAAGAGTAAAAGAAACAACAATCAAATAATCTCAAGTTTCTCAAAAGAAAAGATGAATGTCTTCAAAAATGTTTCCCGTTGAAATGTTAGAATTAAATCCTCAGTGGGGTAAATAAACAAAGAAAACAAGGTTTAAAATGACTCCCCTCCACCCAAAGATACCTCAAAATAGAGAATCTAAAAATGTTATCAACTTTAACAAAATTTTTATTTTTTTCATAAGAATATTCTTCACTAAGGGGTGCCTGGGTGGCCAAGTTGGTTAAGCGTCTGACTCTTGATCTTAGGGTCATGAGTTCAAGCCCCTCACTGGGCTACACACTGGCCATGGAGACTACTTAAAAAAAAAAAAAATACAAACATAGATATTTCATCAATTTCTCAGTAGAATCCAAACCCTGAAGCTATCAACAAGGAATTCGTGTTGTTGTTATTATTATTATTATTATTGTGTGTACAGTAGGGCCTTTTTGCATTGTTTTAATGTAACTGGAGTCACATATACTAATGATTAGTGGAGCCATCACACCAAGGTTCTACCACCCTATTTAATAAAAAGTTTTGTTGAACCATTTGTTAAAACCTACTAGGGTAATCATTTGTACCATTTTATTCCTTCTCAGGACAGTTACATGCAGGGATGTTGACTGGTGAATTGTATAAAAAGGGGCAGACAGAGGCATATATCAAGCTCTTTAGTAACACCACCTTAAAACAAGAAAAGTAAAATGATGACAAGAATTTTTATTTTTCTGCTATCACATACAAGACACATTTCTTTTGCTGAGAAATCACAATCATTAAATGTAAAGAGATTAGAATGGTGACTTATTAAATTGGATTATTTCGCTTTTACATCATCGTCAAGAAATAGACATTTTCCCTGAATCAGCAAAACATGATGTAAATTTAAAATGAGCTTTTTTATAAGTTAAATAGATCTTTAAGATTTAAATACCCTTATATTCTCTATAGTACCCAAAACATATGGTGCTGACTGAATTTGTGGATTGAAATGAAAACAAAATCTTAAGGGAATAAAAATGATCTTAAAGTTTGGATTGCTCTCCTTTTTAAATAAAGTCTTCCCTCAAATACTGAAATGAGAGGTAAAAAAAAAATCATTATTTTTGACAGCAACTATTTCTTAGACCCACCTCTTCATTTGCTCTAATTTTCTTGATTTATACAGGACTCCACTGCAGAGGATGGTCTACAGTAACTCACATTTTCTCTACCACTTTCCAGGGATAGTTATAATTTAAATAAATTCCACAGATTTACTTTGCATATTTATCTGAAGTGGGCAAAAAGACAGTGTGATTTCACCCTTTACTTCTATCAGATATGATTTTTATATTAAATTATATCTACTCTTAAATTTATTCCAGTGCAGAACATCCACTATCTAGAATCTAGTTTCTGTTGTGCTAGCACTGAGATCATCTTCCCAAGGCTGACAACGATTTCCAGGTAAACAATTCCATGAAGAGTTTTTCAGTACTGATCTTGCCTGATCCCACCATAGTAACTGACTCTGCCTACCATCCCTTCTAGAAATAAGTGTCTTCTTTTTTCATTTATCATGACACTCTACCCGTGGCTTATCTCTCCCTACTTCTGTGAGGTCTCCTTCTCACACTTCTGTATGGTGTAGCAGGGACAGCATGCTTTCAATTCTCACACCAGCACAGATTACATCTGGGTCACTGTGCAAATCACTTCACTGTCAGGTACCTCAGTTTCTTCATCTATAAATAGGGATTATAATAGTATCTGGCAAGGTGGCCACAAATGAAGGAATGCTGGTAGCCACAGAAGCTGAATGAAGCAAGGAACAGATTTTTCCCCTAGAGCCTCTGGAGGAAGTGCAGCTCTGCCAATACCTTGATTTCTGCCTAGTGAAACTGATTTTGGACTTCTGGCTTCCAGAACTGTGAGAAAATGAATTTTATGCCACCAAGTTTGTGGTAATTTGTTATAGCAACCATAGGAAACTAATATACAATTCATTGATACCTTCATAAATACAGCAAATGTATTTTTTTAATATTGATTTTAGATGTAATGGAAAATTAAAATAAAAAGGCTAATTGTTCAAAATAATAATAATAACAATAGCATCTCCTGTGAATGAGTCATTACTATCCAAATGAAGAGTAATACTCATTACTTACTATTTGTTCTTTGTATAATATTCCTCTAATTAATCATAGAAATGCATCAAGTAATACATATTTCAGACATAAAAATATTATATAATTAATACATCACAATGTATGAACTTAACTGATAATTGTTAAATCTGAGCTAAAAGTAAATGGGGATTAATTTACTAATCTCCCAACTTTTCTGCACGATTAAAGTTTTATATAATAACATTTTTTAGAGTATTGATTCACACTTACATAGAC